TCCCCCTGGCCCGGCGTCCACCTCGAACAGCAAAGGAACCTCTCAGCTGGGTCTGCCGAAAGACGGAGCCACCTCCACCCCACGTTCTCAGGACTCCTTAGCAGAGGCTTTCCCAGCCCGGCTTCTCCTCCTCCTCCTTCTCCTCCTCCACGCTCTCGGTTTGACTTTTCTCCTTGCAGTGTTTAGTTCTGAGAATTCAGTACTTTGCGCATCACCCCCTACCCCGAAAAACACTGGCAGACCTCAATAATTTCGAGGAAAGTCATGAGGTCTAGGCTCGGAGCCCTGTGCAAAATAACTCCCGCTTCTGCCTGCCGGGCGTTGATTCCCAATTTATTTCAAGAGAGCGGGCTTTGGGGAGAAAGTCTGCAGGGGGAGGGAGAGAAAAGAATACTGAAAATAAAGCCGGCGGCTGCGGGCTACTGCCTGCGTTTGTGTGCGTGTGCGCTGGGTGTGTGGTGTTTGTGTCTCGGCTTGCGATTTAATGGAGCGCCTCTCTGCCTCTCGAGTGCGGCCGGAGCTCGCTTCGCGCACCCACCCCTGCCGAGGAGCCTACTTGCTGCAGCCCAATGCATTGTGTAAGACGCGACCTGTTATGGCCACCACTACTTCCGGGTTCTAGCATTCTGGTCGGAATCCACCTCTCCGCCTGTGCAACACACACTTTACACACGCACGGGGACTGCAAGCGGGCAGCATCGATCGTGGCTCCTTTAAGACAAACTCAGACAGACATTTTTTTTAACCCTCCTTCTCTAATCTCCCTCCAGTGCAGCACTTGCAAAGAGGGAGAGAGAGGGAGAGAAAGAAAGAGAGAGAGAAGAGAGAAACTGATTAGAAATTAGAACTGATTCAAGGGAAGCAAGCGCTAGGGCTTTGTGCATTTGAATATTAACATTTGAGGTGTTCTGACCAGAAGAAGACAGAGCGGATGATCATTCATTCACCACGTTGACAACCTCGCCTGTGATTGACAGCTGGAGTGGCAGAAAGCCATGAGATTTGGTAGTTGGTTCTGAGGGGCGCTCTTTTTTTTTTTTTTTTAAACTGATTTTTGGGGGAGAGAAGATCTGCTTTTTTTGCCCCCGCTGCTGTCTTGGAAACGGAGCGCTTTTATGTTCAGTGACTCGGGCGCTTTGCTTCAGGTCCCGTAGACCGAAGATCTGGGACCAGTAGCTCACGTTGCAGGAGACTTTAAGGGATTTTTCGTCGTCATTTTTTTTTTTTTTTTCCGGGGGAGTTTGCATATTTGTTTCTTTTCACACTGGCCTTAAAGAGGATATATTAGAAGTTGAAGTAGGAAGGGAGCCAGAGAGGCCGATGGCGCAAAGGGTACGTATTAAAAAACAATTGTAGAACTCAAATGTGAGATTAAATTGAAACGTGGCCGAAAGACACTACTAAAAAGTTTCCTTTTTTCTCTCTCTTTTTAAAACTGAGGCTCCTAAAGCCGTGGCCTAAAGCGAGAGGATTTATTCAATGCATTTGTAGACTTGTGTGTGTTACTTGCAGTTGTTAATTAAAGGAATCAATTTATCTGTAGATTCCTAACTAGCAGCTATATAAATAAAAATGCAAGCTCAAACAATCATCTGCTTAAAAAAAAAAAGAAGCTAGATACCTAATGCTATAATTTGAATATTCATAGATCAGAAGTTTAAAAGTTATGTTTAAACTAAAATATGCAGCTGGAAACTTCTGATAGATATGTTATTGATTATGCTCATCTTTAATATCACTAGAAGTATTTAGCTTTTTAAAGCAAATACCTTTGTCATAGTATAGCCAATTTTTTTATCAGAAAACATTCATCTTTTTATAATTTCAATTTGTATAGATTTGTATTCAAGGCAATATTTTGCAAGTTTTTCTTAGATAAGCCATGTACTAATTAGATACTAAGCACACCGTTACTCACTTTAAAAATGCAATACTAATTTCCCCATATTTCTTTTTCAATGGAAATGCAGTGAGAGTAAAGTGAGACAATGACAACCACTGAGGTAGTTTCTTAAAAGAAAGGGGGTCTGCAAAAAGCCTTCCTGCATAATTTGTGTCCTGGCCCTCAAAGCCCTGTTTGCAAAAGAAAGTTACCAGGCTGACATATTTTTCTTTACTCCTTTGGTTCAGGCAAATGTCAGCGTTCTTCCAAACTCTTTTCACACCTCTGGCTTTAAGGAGATGAAAGTGGCAATTCCTCCTTTCTTTGAAAATCATTTCACTCTCAGCGCCTCCAAATCTTGGGAAAATAACTTGCCTGGAATGAACCAATTAGAAAAACCTAAATAGCTAAATTTCACACACACAAAATAATGACAATCAATATGAAAGTAGTTTGGGTTTTTTGGTTTTTGTGTTTTTTTCTGCAAGAGGAAGATAGGTTTTCTGTTCATTTGCATTTGAATTTGCTTTAAACCTGGTGAGTAACATTTACCTCCTTGACTTCTCGTCTGGAAAGAAAGTTCATAAGAGTAAATAAGAAAATAGAACATTAGCTGCTTCAACTGCAGATTTTCTTTAACTTTGGGGGGGGGGATTGCTCAATTCTAAATTCAGCTCTGATATTCAGGAAAAGCTACCCTTCTTTGAGTTTCATGTATAAGGGGTCAGTTAGTTTTATATAATTTAGCAAAGTTTGTCTTGGAAAGCAAAAGAAATGCAGTGTCTTGCAGGACTGCCTAACCTCATGCTGGCAGGGAAATAAAATGAGAAGCCTGTCTAAATTCACGTGCTTGGCGTAGCTGTTCCCATCGTAACTTTTTTTTTTTTTTTTAATTCCCCCTGACGTGAAGGGGCTGTGAAAGTAGGCAGGTTTGCTGCACTGTTCCGGCACGTTTTATTATTGTGATTTTGAATTTCTTCCTCCGGAGACATGCTCGTTTCACCTTCCACCCCCGAGAAAATGCTTCTCTTTCTCTCCTTTCTTCCTTCCTTCCTTCCTTGCCAAAGGAGCCTGAATTTCTGAACTAGTTGATAGGGACATAAGTTAGAGCAAGATCATTCATCCCAGGCGAGTCTCACTGAGAATTCTGTCATTTTTACTTAAAAATCTCTTTTGTAAAATAAGAAAACTCAGCTTTAGAGACGCAAGGCCACCGAATTCCGGGTGGAAGGATCCAACTGGACTGACCTTATATAAGCTCGGTGCCTTGCGGTTCTCCCATTTGCCCGCCTGGCCTTCTGAACCTTCTTTCTCTCCTATTTGTCATGCAGTACGACGATCTACCCCATTACGGGGGCATGGATGGAGTAGGCATCCCCTCCACGATGTATGGGGACCCGCATGCAGCCAGGTCCATGCAGCCGGTCCACCACCTGAACCACGGGCCTCCTCTGCACTCGCATCAGTACCCGCACACAGCTCATACCAACGCTATGGCCCCCAGCATGGGCTCCTCTGTCAATGACGCTTTAAAGAGAGATAAAGATGCCATTTATGGGTAGGTACAATGGGCAGCAGGTTAAGTAGTTGAGACTCGATGCTTCCCTCTTTCCCTGTGCCGTTGATAAGAGGAAAGTCAGAGTTCTCTGGATTGGAGGTACATCTTTGGTGACTTTTCCTTCACATTGTATGGAGAATTTGGGGAGGTGGCCTGCCATCCCCGACGCCCTCCATCTCCATACACACTCTGTGCACACCCAGTGCTCTGCTTCACCATGGCACTGCCTGCAAGGGGGTCCCAGATCAGGAGAAGTTGGCTAAAGGTCCCTTGTCCCCTTGTCAGACTCCCTCAGCGGCTAGAGTCCTCCCTCGCTTGATTTTTTCGCCTGAGAGCGTTAGGGGTTTCTAAATGTAGGCGCCTTTGTGTTGGAACGAAACTTTTAGTTTAAGGGAAAATCTCTTTTAAGCCACTGATTGTTCTGACTTGCTAAGTTTACTCAGCAGCCTTATGCTGGCTCTGCCACTGCACAATAAAACCAATGCAGGACAGTTGCAGGTCAAGCAAGGGGGAACATGTTTTGCATTTAGGGAATTTGCCACTGAAGTCAAGGAGAGGCGCTTGCTGTGAACTGTTACACACATTCAGAAACTTCGAGATGTTTTAGCACTTTGTGCTCAAAGGTGAAACCTGCAGGATTTGGAAATAAGAAAATTCCCGGCGTTCTTCCTCGGAGGTTTTCTGGCTGCGGTTTACACTGCTTGATCTCCTCCGCCATGCAATTAGACCCTGGGCTAGTAGAATCCTTTGAAACTCGCTTGTGCCTACTGTGTGCCGATACATTCGGGGACCTCTTTGTACTTTGCAGGAACTTTGATTTCTATTTATTTATTTATTTTTTAATCAGGACACATTGACCCTCCCCAGCTGGAAAAAAATAGATTTTCTTTTTGCTTTATTTTCTGATCCCTTATGCGATGGGCTTGTTTAAATCCCACCGCTCTGTCTGCAGCGTGGTTTAGGCTCCGGGACAGAACATTTGGGGAAGCTTTGAAAGGGACCCCAAATTGTTAAATTCCCAGCTGGGCTGTGAGAGCTAATAAAAGGCTTGAGACACCTCCTTGGGCATTAGAAGAAGCTTTTCTTTCTTTCTTTTTCTTTTTTATTTTTTTCTTTTTTATGGGCCGAGACAAGCGACGACAACTAGGCCCCTCGCAATACTAGCTGCTTTGCCACTTTGCAGAGACAAAATGAAAGGTTTTACCGCAGGAACATTTGAAGGAACTTTCTTTGGGGGGCAGTGGGGGCCATCCGCGAAGGGAGGGGAGTGTGCGAGGAGCTGAGGAGGAGCCTCCGGGCTCTCCGAGGGCCTTGGGGTTGAGATCCGTAGGTGTAGCCCGGTGACAGTCGGTCCCACTGCCATGGACGTCCCTTCCCCAAGTTAGCTGAGCGCCTGCCACCGAATCCCCCGAGCCTGGGCTTCACAGGGCCGCCTAGGAGGAACCCACTGGAACCAGCCCTCCCTACCCCTCCGCCTGGCGTCTTTCTCCTCCACCGGATCCTGGATGTGCAGTGGAGGGGACTAGGGCTTGTCGGGTGGGAAACTTAATTCAAAATGGCTGCTGGAAACGCCGGGGTTTTATTCGTAGCAAATGTTGCCAATTTCTCCGGCCATATATGCTAAACCCATCCTCAGATACCGTCCATGGCTCAGGGCCTCCGACATCAGGGCTCCAGGAGGAAGGGGAGGTGAGCGGTCACCTGGGCGCGGGGGTGGGGGGGGTGAGGAAAAGGAGAAAAGTAGATGACACAATCGGAGAGGGGGTCTGTTCCTCTTGCTCCTCCGGCTGTTTTTCTTGGGCACCTTTTTCCACTCACTGGGGACTAACCATTATGTTGTTTGTGACTGTTGTATTTTCTTGCAGACACCCCCTCTTCCCTCTCTTAGCACTGATTTTTGAGAAATGTGAATTAGCTACTTGTACCCCCCGCGAGCCGGGGGTGGCGGGCGGGGACGTCTGCTCGTCAGAGTCATTCAATGAAGATATAGCCGTGTTCGCCAAACAGGTCAGCAAAATAAATGTTAAAAAGTAAAACAAAAAGAGAGCCCCCGCCCCGTCCCCAACACACACACACACACACACACACACACACACACACACGGCACGCTTTCAAAAGTAGCCAGCACATAGTCCGCCCTAAGCCAAGCGTGTTACCTCCAACCTCAGATTTTCCTTCTGTCTAAGAGTGTCTTTGCAGATAACTTAAAATCACCCATCTGCATACCCACTCACCCTCCAGAAAGCAAGCGCGGAGAGGTCACTCTGCAAAATATAATCGAGAACACCACGGTTGTGACTGCTGTGGACTTGGCGGGCTGAGCAGCCTTCCCCGAGAAACCGTAGTTGCTAGTAGAAGCAAGACTGAGCTCTGGGCTTGTTTTCAGCTTATTTAATTCACACTGAAGTGTTTCTGCGCGGGGACGAACTCGGTGTCACCGGGTCCCTCCCGGAGGGTTACATCCTGCCCCCAACAGGGTAATGAGGCAAGAAACTAGGAAGGCGACCAGATTTCAAAATTTTCTTTCTTTTTTTCTTTTCCCTTCCCTCCTTCTCCCCTCTCCTTCTCACTTGTATTTAGATTCGCGCAGAAAAACCTCTATTTTCTTCTAATCCAGAACTGGATAACTTGGTAAGAGCGGACCCCTATTCCCCTCCCCCCTCGGCCCCCCACCTCCCACCTCCAGCTCCCTCAGCTTTGCTTTGAGAGCCCTGAGATTTCTAGACCGGCCTTCTTGTGCCTGCAGGTTGGCTGCAAATGTTTCTGTCCACGGACAAATGGTCCGGGACAAGATCCCGGGGAAATAAATTCATCTCGAGAGGGGCTGGGCGAGCCGGCGCGGGGAAACGCGAGCTTTTGTTTTTTATGACAGCCGGGCTGCGCAGCTCTAATCAGCGCGGGGATTTATCTCCCGGCCTGTCAGCGTGTGTGCTAAAACTTTGCGGACTTCCCAGCCCTTGAAGTCCCATCACGAGGGCAGCCACCGGACAAGAGCCCCCGAGTAACCAGTTTGCCTGAAAGGTGTAAGGAAGGCAGCAGAAACTTTGCAATGGGATAAGCCACCATTTGAGGGCCATTTGGAATATTTTTTTATCCACTTCTTCCAAAGAAACGTCTAGTCCACTATTGTGGCCCTTATCAGGTAGAGTGGGGCCAGTGGGACTGAGAAAGGAGAGAGCTATGGGGGAAGAGAGTGTTTATGATCCCCACTTAGATACTTTGTTGTTGTTTTAGCTATTTTTTTCTCCTTAAGAAATATAAACCTCTAGATGGTACCCAGTTGCTGCTATTAAGTTTTAGTGTTATTGCCATAAATCAAAATAACTCTATTTACTGGTGGGAGGGGTGGGCTGGACATAGTAGAGCTGTGACAGCCAGTTTTCTGCAAGCCAGGAACGGGGTGCTCATTGTTTTTGTATCTTTGCAGATGATTCAAGCCATACAAGTATTAAGGTTTCATCTGTTGGAATTAGAGAAGGTAATTTCTCTAGCCTCTTTTCCTTTTACTTACTTACCCCTTACCCCTAAATACACAGGGGGGAAGTTCGGGATGGCTGAAGTTCAGGCTTCTGAGACATTTGCATAAATGTCTTTCTTTCTAGTAATTAGTGTCAAGGCCAATCTTATCGTCCATTTCTCTTCGCAGTTTAATTACAATTTCAGCCACTAAAACTGGGATCACAAACGCCCTAGCCTTGTATTCATGCTTAATAACTTGCTGGCTTTGTGTAAATAGTTGCAATTCTGTACATTCCAGCTGATGTTTAGAATGCCGCTGTGAGGTTGCTTCACAGGTTAATACCTCTGTGGTATTATCCTCTTCCTCCTCTTCTTTGCTGCCTCTGAGGAAGAAAAAAGTTTTGTTCAGTTGTAGTGAGTTTCTGGAAGACAGTCGTGAGAGCAGCAGCAGATCAGACAGACACATGGGAGAGGCAGAAGGGGAGGAGAAGGAGGAGCGGGAAGGAGTCTGGAGGAGGGTGGTGGGGAGGCACATTAAACATTTTGCAGAGACAAAGCAGAGTTGATAGTTGTGTCAATTTCTTGAATCTGTGAATCCTGCACACATCCCACCTGCACACTCAAGAAAGGGTGTGGGATAACATGATTTTGCTAGCTGTTCTATAAATCTCAGCAATAAAAACTTAATGCATTGTAATTCAAACTAACATTAAATTGCAAGCACACTGGGGTTTCTTGTGAATTTTTGCATGTCAGTGATGCCTGGGCCCTGTAGGAAACCTGGGCACCTACACCTAAATATTTTGAGGCATTCATTCTTCTTTTTGTAATAATAATAATAATTTGATATGGTTTGTGGCTGTATGTTTTCTCATATCATGAGTGCTGGCAACTTGGTTTCCTTCTATTTTTTTTTAAGAAACTATTCTAAAATATGATCTTTAGAGATAAAAACCTTAATTACAAATATAATAAGGACTTGGGTTGTCAGACACATAATCTATACCGCCACAGTACAGGTCCTTTGGAGAATATACATGTGCATGTCTGTATATATATACAGACATATGCATTTTTTCCTTAGACACATTGGAAAGGGATTTATGATAAAGTCACTGGATGAAATTAAATAGTTTACCTTAAATGTCACCTACACAGGTCACCTCTCTAATGACCACAGCCCCAGGAGCAGATGAATTTAACACGGGTGTTGAATATGTTGTAGCCTGTGAATCATCTTGTCACTGTCAATTTTCTGGGATATCTCTATTTTGCAAGAAAAGAAAGTTATTCCTAATTCTGGATGCGTCTGGGGGTCTCTGGAGGACAATTGCCCTGTGTTTCCCCTATTTGGAAGTTTGGATCTCACAAGGGGGGTGGATTGCACTTGTCAATGTCATTTATGCACTCCTGATTATATTCCCATTTTTTTATTTCTGTCATAATGTAGGTACACGAATTATGTGACAATTTCTGCCACCGGTATATTAGCTGTTTGAAAGGGAAAATGCCTATCGATTTGGTGATAGACGATAGAGAAGGAGGATCAAAATCAGACAGTGAAGATATAACAAGATCAGCAAATCTAACCGACCAGGTATGCGCTTTTCAATTTCAACATCCCTGGGAAAAAAAAAAATCTGTATGCATATTGCTTGCTGGGTCACTACCACCTCCTTTCATTATTTGCATATGATTAAGTCCCTTTTAGATACATTTCCATCGAAATGAAAATTTTTGAATAATGTGGCTATTATTGCTTCATTAAGGCTGGCTCTGGGATTCGACCTGGAGGGATGAGCTTGTAAAAGCTTTGCTAGCAAACTTGACCTGTTTCTTGTCGCTTTTAATTTTTGTCTTTATTTTATTTACCCTCTATAATAATGGGAGTGTTAACTGCCAGTGACCGCCTCTGATTGTAGGGGCTTTGTTCCGGAGCATTTTCCCCCCTTCTATCTTCGAGAAAAGAAAAGTGTAGGGTCTGCTTATTTCTTATTTTATTAGGAATAAATCCAAGATAGGTGGTCTAAGGGAGACAGCGAGGATTTGAAATCTAGCAAATGCTGGCTATTTTCTCCCTGTCTATACGGTTCATTAGCCTGTCTTGTCAGTTTTCCTCGGCCGAACGCTTCTAGACCTCACTGAACATTGCTTTGTGTGGTGTTCACTGCAAGCTCACCCATTTTATTGTACTTAATAGAAAAAATAAGACCAGGCCGAGGTTATAAAAACAGATAAATATGGACTTTTTTCCTCCTTCTTTCCACTCATCCTCCAGCTGGTATGTGCTCTGGGACCTCTGGGTTGGCAGCTTGTGGACATGTCAGCATCAGGGGTACCCGACGGCTCCCTGGGTGAGGAGGGTGGGGGACCTCGCACCTCCTTTGCTCTCCACTGAAGTCCTTGGCTTGCTTCGCCCCCTCCTCTCCTGTCCTCCCTCCAGGCCCTTCTTCCGATGCATTTCTAAGTGGGGACGACTTTTATTTGGAGTTGCTGTGGGGATTTCTCTCTCTGTCACCCCAACACCACCGTTTGCTCCCAGTGTGCCTCTCTCTCTCTCTCCTGTGGCTGTATTTCTGGATTGGTCCAAAGGAGTTGCAAAAATGCAATGAAAGTGAAAACGTGTGGAGTGAGTGAGACGAAGCAGGGCTCAGGACAGTTCTGTTGCGAATTGGTGCAAGGCGTCTTAGAGATTTGGGTAGCCGGCCTGCTCCGCACCCTCCCATCCTTCCCTCATATATAAGTGAAGGCCCAGAGTTGTGTCTCTTTCTGACTTGGCACGTGAGTCCAGACTTGGGGGAAGAGATCAGCCTGCCTTTGTTAAGCCAAAGACCAGCTGCTCTGCAAGCTCTGCCATGATCTCTGTTGGCCAGGGGCTGTCTTGTACAGTCCTTGCCGGAGTGCCTGACACCTGGTTCTTGGTGTCATCTTATGGTTTTCTTCTCAACATCATCCTCTTAAAATATATTCTCAGTTTGACTTTCTCTGGGCAACCCCAGCGACACAGGCTGAATTCCTCTTTTGCCCATGGGGAGCAAGGAACAGGCAGAACAGAGATTTAAAAGTGCCACTGCGCCGGGTCTATACTGTGATCTGGAGAGTTGGAAATTTCGGCAGTGTAGACGAGTGCACAGAACACGCAGCGTGCGCAATCCCGGTGCGGCCCGGCAGAGGTGGGAAAACTGCAGGCGGCTCTCAGTCCTGGCTCCCGCGGGCTGCCTGGCCTCATGTCTGGTTCAGCCCGCCAGCCCTCGCCTAGGAGCTGTTGAGTGCAGATTCTGCTGAGGAACCCTCGAGTAGCTGCTGTGGAATAAAAATTGCAATCCAACAAGCCTAACTAGAAAATGGGATTCTAAAAGCTCCGGAGTGCTGGGTACATAAAGCTATTTGAGCAAATTACAAGAATCGCTTAGGGGCATGAATGAAATCAACACTTTAATTGCCTCCAAAATGAAGATTTATACCCCATTTTCTCAAGGAATCATTATTTTATTGAAGTCAAAGATAAAAGACCAAAGTTATGGGAATTTTTTGGATGAAGGAGAGGGGATACAAAAAGTAATGTAATGTCATAGAGTTACCTCCTTCTCGTTCCCTAAACTTTTGTTATCCAATTCCCTTAAGATATGCAAAGATTGACATGCAATTGTATTGGGTAAAACTTCGCATTTTATTCTCTTCTACCTCTAAAATGAGAATCCTACTTCTGGTCCCGCGGGTTAAGAGTGGGCTTCGAAGCTTTGGTTGAGCTTGTGGCGCTGTTGGCCTTTGCTCGTGGGCTCCCTCATGTGAACCCCTGGGGCTCACCTAGGTCTCAGCTGGTCGGAGGACAGCAAACCCAAAGTCGGGATTGAAGAGGGGAGCGCAAATCGCTGGGCGCCTGCGGTACAGTGCCTCGCACTCCGGTGAGCTCCCCTGCCCTGGGGAGGTGAGGCGCGATGAATGAAG